TACTTTTATCATTATAGCTTGATTTGCAAAGGATTCAAAATTTTGCACTTCTTAATTGTTTGAAATAAACAAACAAACAAAAAAGCTTGGAACTATTAATAAATTCAAGAACTAAAAAGAAGAATTTAAAATTTGCCATTTCTTCTTAAATATTAGAAATAAGCTAAACAAAACTTTCAAAACTTGTAACTACTTACAAACTCTAAGTCAAGAATTACTGCTATTTTGTCAAGTTAAAAACTTTTACTCAGTTGAAAAAGCACTATAAACAAAACTTAATTACAAACAAAATTACATGTTCAGTATTCGGGGTCACTGTGCCGAAGCATACGATAGCAAGTGTCTAATTTTGCGCATTTTTCATTGCCCAGTCGATTTCTAAGTTTAGTATGAATGAGTCCAAAATTTGAGAAGATTCAAAATTATTTTACCAAATACTCAAAATTATTTTACCAAAACTATGGGTTTTTGACAGTTTTTGACAGTGGGGGTTTTTGATATGACGGTAAAAACCATGGTAAAAACCGTCATGTGTCAAAAAATTGCCAATCCTGGTCTAACAGTCTACTTGGAACACCTGACGGGAAATATCTTCCATCAGATAAGGGTAAAAGGGACTTAATTAATTAAGGAAATTTCTAATTACTGTGAGGGAGATAAAACCACCATCCCCGCACCAACAACGTCTATGCAATATTTAAAATTATATGAGCCTATGCAACATTTGAATTACTTACCTTGACGAATCATTGGCTCTTGTTCTCCTAAGTTTTTACCTTTACTTGAATTTTTTGTAGGACTTAACTCATTCATTAATTTGTTATTGAATTCTTCAGGATGACCATCAAGCTCAATGACAAAATTTGATGGAAACATTCCAACATTTCCATCCGAAATTCCCTTCCACCATCCCTCTTCTGTTTCCTCGACAACTTCCAAAATGTCGTGAACTTTTAGCGCCAATTCATCATTGTTAACGGGTACATAGCTGTAAAGAGCCTTAACAAATCGCTTCTTGTTTTCTGCAAAGTAATAAAAACACATGTACATTTGCGACACTAAAATAAGAGTCACAAATACTAATAAGAAAAATAATACCTTTTTTATTATCCTTATTTTCTATATTAGCCATTGGTTATCTGTGCCTCATATTCAAATAATCTGTAACAGTAATAAAAATTTTTATAGATTATACAGATGTTTAGAAAAGCTGAGTGAATGAAGGTTCCTAATGACACTTTAGAAAATAGTTAGTAAAATAGTTTTCAAGTCTCTCAAGTCTTAGTGACATTTTTGTAAATATTAGTAAAATAGCTTTAAAGTTGCTCTGTTTGGTGTATGAGGAAACAAATGTCTTTTCTTCATTTTTTCTTTAAAAAACTCCAAAACTCAATTAAACTATTTGATGCATCTTAGTATTTGCATTCATGGAATTTTCAAAACAGAGGTTCAGCTATAAAGTAAGCTAGCAACTATTTGTAGCACTTGAAGTCTTCTTCCACTTTGAAAAAATTGTCACACCTTCATACACTAAGATATTTTAAATCTAATGACTTGAAAATTAATGTACTTTCAATAAACAAAACTAAAAAAAGATCTTTCCCAGAAAAATTTTAATTTTTTATTTCAAAAATGATTTATTTCAATTTCAGGGTTACTTAGTTTTATCTTGGGATCCTAAGTTACTTTTGGATTCATTTATCTTAGCTAAAGATTGACTGACTATTCTTGGGCATCATGATATTTCTATTAAATAACAGGCATAAGTTTTAGACATTTTTAACAACCAAAATTAAATTTACATTTTTGACAGTATTGCCTTATTAATAATTTAGTGCCTTATTAATAGTAATAGCAAATCAAAAGCTTTGAAAATTATATGTGATACGATATGTAGAATTCATTAAAAGAACATGCATGTCAGGACTGTGATTCCACTCCCACGCATCTGAATGACCTCTGACCTGAGGGTCAATAGGTGAACGAATATCCCCTATTCGTGGGGAAGGAAAGAGTTAGAAGAGAAGGACTCTCTCATGAGAAATGAGATCCATTATGGGCATGATGCTGATAGAGTGTAGATGAAGGAGAAGGGTGCAATGGGGCTCCAGAAATAAAAACTTTTTTTAAGTTTATTTAAATATCTGTAAATATTGAGCCCAATAACCCAGAATCTAAAATAAATATGCATAAATGATAAGCCCTCGTCATCAAACCGCAAATAAAACTGTTCCACAAGAAACGGGTGTCACAATGGCATAGCTCAACAGGATATAAATATCACTAGCACGGTAGAAGGACTGCTAGGAGGGAAGGATCCAGGATAGAAGGATGCCTACTAGGATAAGGGGTGACCAGTATAGAGAGATTTGCTAAAGAGCGTTGCCTGAAGGAATTGGTGAATGCTTAAGACCTAATTGATGGGTGCTAAAAAGATGGTACTGGAAGCTACTATTATCGGAGACAGTACGAAGCCATGGCTACCCCCTATTGTATGGAATATACAGAGAAAGACTCTTTGCCAAGAATGAGGACTGAAAGCATAATTAAATGAGGTAACTTTTATCTTATACATAAATGAAAAAGAATTACACACTCACATTTCCTTCAGGGTAGAAATTAAAAAAGGTGTAGTTAGTTTAAAGTTCATTTCAGTTTAAAGTGCGCATGATATGTTTAATGTAAGATAAGGAATTGGGCAATTAAATACAATATTGTTTGTATGATTAATGAATGGGATTAATAATGATGAGAATAGTAAACATTGATCTGATAATTTTGATGTGAATTGTTGATTTGGTTTAGTTAGAATATATTTTTTATACGAAAAAAAAGGTATTGAATTAATATCTTGTAAAAATATATAGAAGAGTATGTTAAAATTACATTTTTTATGTTAATAACAAGCTAAATATGCTATTGGTAATAAGAAAGGTATGGTTAAAATTATTATTTATCATACATTTTGTTAAAAATAATTTTGACCGGAAAAGGGGCCATGGAAAGGGTTTATTTAAATTTATTTCAAATGGTGAAATAATTAATGGTTACACCTCTCAAGTTTATATTCTTTAAGAGTTAATGAAGATTATGGAGAGCAAATATGTATTTTCTTTCTGGGTACAAAAACGATATGGGGTATTTATTATGGGTCTGGAATAAAAATTTAATAGAGTAAATTTTATTTATGTGTAATAAGAAGTAATAGCATATCTGGAATGTTGCATGATATAAAATGTGTCATGCTCTTTTTTTTTTTTACAAATGATGAGTTTGATTTTGATATAGAATATCAGGGTATGAGTATAATTATGATTCCCGCGAAAATTGAAATTTATCGTAGCATAGAATTAATATAATTCAAAAGATATATATATACGTATCAAATATTTTTTATTATTATATGGAAGGATATAAACCCTTTGGCGCCTTCATGATAACAATTGGTGCTAACATGTACCGATGTCAAAATATTTTCTTACATAACATTAATGCTAGTAGAAAATAAAGAGGGATGAAATTGCCAACGAAAAAGCAAACACTAAGTGGAGATATATTAAAATTCACAGTAGAAAATTAAATTAAACAAATACAGTGTATACTTTTTCAACATAACTTACAAACTCATTAAACAGCAAGCATAAAAGCGTTACTAAATTATTCTTTTGTTTACCTTCAGATAAACTTACAAAAAACACTTAAAATGAAATTCGTCTATGATGTTGACAGATAAACTGATAAAGTACTCTTCCTTTCATATCAGAACAAATCTTATCCAGTAGAACACAACATAAAAACCCACTGCATTTTTATTTACTTATTCTTAATTCAAAACTTTACGATTCAAATTTATTTTAAAGTAAAAGGAAATAAGGGTATTAACTTTCAAACAACTCGAAACCAACCCAACCAACCACAACAAAAACAATAATAAATTTGTTACGCAGCTTAAGAGATTTTAAACTCAAATAAACGCATGAATGACTATGAGTCACAAAAGGCTTTGTAACAGCAGATTTCAATTTAAGCTTGAAATGAAAAATTAAAAATTAGACGTTTGATTAGATTTTTTAGATAAAACTTTAATATGAAAATTTGCCAATATTAAATAATATAGATGGCGGCCAACAAATTCACCAATCAAGAGAGGAAAGTAACACTGCAGTAAAATATAAACCAATCATATCAAAGTAACTGTTGACTTTAGTGAAAAAATACCTTTAACTCCAAGCTTAAAACATTTGTGTTTGTATTTGGAAAACGAAACTAGTTTTTGGCAACAGTATCTTTATTTAGCTTTTGTTGAACATTGTTGTTTTGAAATGTTTCATAACAAATTTGAATCAAAATAAAATATGGTTTGGTAAAGAACTTGATCTCTAGATTGCGTTTATAAGTTAACTAAGTCATTTTGTGGTAAGATTGGATTATTTATTTGACTTTATTATTCTCTATGGCACCTTTACCTTGGTTACTCATTGTCATCGTTGTTGCTAAGTGACAGTTAAGATATCCCATTATCATTTGTTTTCATAATGAAGTGAAAGTGAAACAAAATGACAATAAAACGCGAAATTTGTTTTTCCTTTTTTTTTTACCACTTTTCAAAGAATTGATATAATATATTCGAGATATTTATTTGTTTAAGATTAAAAGTTTATTTACTTATTATTATCGCTGTAATTCCAAATTGTTTTACAATTTTTTTTCGACCTTCATTCTTCATTTATGTTTCTAAAACATTTATCAGTTTAGTAGTAATTAAGAATTGTTTATTATCTTTTTAATCTGACTAAAACCAAGTAAGTTATATAGCATTTTTCGAGAAATAATTTTTCTCATTTATTGTAACACTGTTTTAAATTAAACAATTTTTTCTTTTTTCATTTCTGAAAGAAAGATTAATTCATTAAATATCACATAGTTTATTTGAAAAGGAGTTCGGATAAATAGCTTTTTAATTTATTTTTTGAGATAAATATTTTTCGTATTTACTTAATAATTTGATTTTTATTATTTTTTGAACAGTGCACTAAGAATAGAAACTAGCCACCCTTAATAACTTTTGATTTAATTATCTAATTTCCACGTTATAGGACTCAATCTTACTGGTTTAAGAGGGGTGATTATACTCCTAATACTCACATGAAAATTTTTTGAGGGAGTAATTCTTTTACTCAATTTTAATTTTTTGGAACAAGAAACAAATTTGTTTCTTGTTCAATAAATTTAAAATCGTTCTTGCTATTGATCCTTATTCTAACTGTTTTTATTAATTAATTATGAACTATATTTAATCACAATATATTATTAAATAATTTTCAAAAATGTTTAAAGTCCAAATAGTTAGTTTAAGTTGCTGTTATAATTAAAAACTGTATAAAGAAAAGAAGGGTTGAAAAAATTCATCAAAGTGTCGCTTTTAGTTAAATAAAAAAAATAATAAAAAAGAACTTCAATTTATTGATTATGTGTTGTTTTAGACTTCTTTTTTTCAAAAGGATTGAAAAAGGAAAATGAATAACTGAAAGTACAATTATTTACAAAGGACAAAAGAAGTTTAATTTCCATAATTTCAGTAAAGTTTCAATTCCTTTTATTTATTTCTTAAAATTTCATTGCCAGTTTCTTTTTTATATGAATATTTAAAATATGAAAAAAATGAAATTGCTTACAGTTTAAGCTTCTTACATAATAATTCGAAAGATTTTAATGATTTCCTTAGCTTTATAAAAACACTTAAAAAATTTTAAACCGAACTTTTGTTCTACTGAAGTTTAGTGAGTATCTTTCGATCAGTCTTTTTTTATATACAGTAGGGAACCAATTATCCGGAACGATCGGGATCATCGCTATTCCGGATAACTGATTTTTCCGGTTTTCTGAATCGCTACAAAAAGCTGTTTTTTTATTCTTAAACCCAACTTTAAAAAAAATTTATATTTAGAAATAATCTTAAAAAGAAGAAAAAACGATGAAGTAATACACTAATGATTATTTCTAAAATGATGGTAAGGTAAGCATCTTTCAAAAAAAAAAGAAAAATCCTATGAGGAAAAAAAATATTTTTTTTAATGACGGGAAAATTTATCGAATTTCGTTCCGGTTTTCTGATTTCCGGATAACGGGTTCTGTACTGTATATATAACAAAAAGTTGGTGCCAAGTGGAAAATCATTCCTACAAAATTCTAATTGTATGCTATGTAACTTGTATCTATTTGAATCATGTAAAGCATGTTTTATCCTCTTTAATTTTATCATAACATTTTTTTTTATTCTGTCTTAATTTGTTTTCTAAGACACTTTTCATGTAAGAACATGTTTTCTTTATAATTTTCTGATGTTTCTGTGCATTGTAACACTGTCTGATTTTTTTTAGATCATGGTGTTAACGAAGATACATGTACTGCCAATATGCATCTTCATACTTATTCCAAGTTCATTCATAATAACGTATGTAAAATTTTAAATTTGTTTTTTCATTCGTAAATTTGCATTTGTGAATTTTTCAATTTACAAATTCGTACATGTTCTCCATTTGTGAACTTCTGTATCTTTAACCATTATTTTCCATAAATATGTTTATTTTCATTATTTAAAAGGGATGTTTTATTTAAAATACTCACAAAGAGTTAAAAAAATATTGGTTAGAATCATTTTGCATTTAAATTATGCCTATTTTTAAAAATATATATATATGTGTAGGTAAAGGATCATTACTGTTCATTGTCCCAACCACACATTTCAGAACTGTCTAAGTAATTTTTTATATTGTAACAGTGTTCCAGAGATAAATACGTGTCTATTCTGATATTAAATTATTATCTATTTGAATATGTATAATCAATGTCTTAAAGTAATTTGTATCTTTTGTTCATTTTGTTTGATTTTTGATTTAAAGTCCCTCATCTGGGCATCCATTTATCTGAAGGGTCTATTTCCTGGACACTTTTTACCAATCAAAATAAGCAAAACTCTGTTCCTTTCTCAAAAAGAAAAAATATATACACTTTTGATTTGTTTTAAAAAAAAGTACAAGTAGGTTACTCTATGTTGTGCATTATAATTGTTTGCATACTCTTATAATTTCTAATGTAATACAAATAAGTGAACACTATTAAATTTTGAAATTTTTTCATAGGTATTGCATTGCAGTATACCTGAAGCATGTATCATTTGAGTTCCCATATATAAGTGACACTGGTACTTATGTTCCTGAAAGTTGCATCTTTAGTCAAGCTGTTAATCTGATTGCTTTTCTAAGTGAGTAATTGTATTTCATTTTGGTTTGAATGTTTAAGTCATTTTGTTGTTGTTTTTTTTACCATTTAGGTATATAAGCATGAGGAAAAATGCTTACTTTTGTATTAATTATTACAGTTGTAGTTACAAGTTTGTAATGTGTAATTTGTATCTTTTAATTAAGTTTGTATGTAATGCAAGTTTTTGGTTATTGATAATGAAACTTTTAAGACTGTTGCTTCCTAAATGGTAAAGTATTTATAAAAAAAAAGAAACAATTTAATATTCATATTTTCTATAAGAAATGTGAGCTCTCAAATTTTGAAGAATTTCCAATCTAACGCTGTATAATAATTTGTTAATAAGTAAGGCTCTTTTTAGGCCTTATTTTATTCATGTTCTGTGTTATATTTTGTTCGTTAATTTGTTCCTTTGTCCCTTATTTTGTTGCTTAATTTTATAATGAGGTTTGGCACAACCCTTTGTCTCTAAAATGGGCTGATCAAAAATCCATTGGTGTGTAAGGTGGTCATTCTTGAGCTATGAAAAATTTTAAAAAAGTGTATCTTGCAACATTCTTGAGTACCTTACCCCTTTTCACTGGCGGCACATAATAGATACCCCAAACAATATTCGTATGAATGGTTGGGTTGTGCTTGAATCAATACTTAACATAAACATTTTTAAAATTAGATGTAAATAAAAATATTTAGTTATGAGCATTGCCCATGTTATTCCTTGTCACCCTATTTAGATTGTAAAATAACAAGAGTAATCCTTTGAAATAAAGTTGAATTTCATTAAAAACAATATTTAAGAATCATAAAGATTTAAATTTTATTTAATTTTTTATTATTATTTAATTTTATTTTTAGTGTCACTTTGGTATATCTTTGTCATTAAAACAAATCCAAGGAAAGTAAAGTAGAGTTGTTGCAATTCAACAGAATGTCAATGTTCTGTCGAATTAAAATATCTCTGATCATAAAAATGCTGGATAGAAAAATTTTTACATTGCTGTCAAAGGATTAAATTATAGTCCTGTTTACATAAATTGTTTTTATTTAAGAATGTCTTAATTAATAATTATCTGAAAATCTGAAGGATTTATTAAATTATGGGGCTGTTCACTTAAATTGTTTTTATTTAGAATTTTAATTAATAATTGTCTGAAAATCTGAATTTATTTTTGTATTGAAATATTGAGAGATTTAATCGATTATATTTTTCTATAAATGCGAGAAATGATTAACGCACCCTTTTTCAGTCATCTTTTTTATTAGACCAAAGAGAATATCGATACACTTGCATTCTAACTCTTTAGATTATGATATTATGGGTTATTATTTTTGTAACTTGAATAGAAAGCTTGTTTTAAATATAGTACAAAGTCACTTATACAAGTCATTTTCTTAATACTTTTTAACAACCAAAATAAACAAATCTTTTCAGTCAAAGAAGATGAGACTGAGAATCATTATTATTCTCAGTCTTAGAATCAGTGCTTAGGATTTGTTTGAATAAATAAAGGAAAAAACATTTGTATTTTTTTTTTCTTTTTTACACTACATCTGTAAAATGATAACAATAGTAAATAACACTAAGGAATTAAATTAATAAAGGTTTCATAAAATAAATTCATTATATTTGTTTAGTTTTTCAGTTTTTTTTAATCACTTTAATGGTTTACCTATTTCAGAACATTCACAAATCTGTTAATAACTACATATTCTCTTTGAATTTTTATATTACTTATATCAGAAAAAAATAGTATTTTTTTATTTAAAAGAAAATTAAAACTATCACAAATTTATATCATTATTAGTATACGTTTTTATTATTATTGCTGCTATTATTATTAATATTTAATTATTCATTTTAGTGGCTGCCTTCATTTATGTGAGATACAAACATGTAGAGCAGCATTATAGAGATCATTTATCATCAGATTATTCTGTAGTTTTAAAACTGAATCAAACTGCTCTGATTGTTGGCTGGATGGGCTGCTTTGGAGCCAGTATTATTGCTAATTTTCAGGTATTAATTAATATTGAATATATAATAATTGTATGTTATTTGTGTTACAATAGTTTTTTCTCATCTTTTAAAAAATTGTGGAAATATTTGTTTGGACACACAAAGGAGTCCTAATAATTCAATAATTTAAGGTTCACTTAAACTGGGGGGAGTAAAAAAAATGCTTGAATTTTTTATGTATGTGTTGTTTAAGAACTGTAAAATTGGGGAAGGAAAATTTTGACCTCAAAAGCAAGGTTTTGAAATTATGTGGATAATAATAGATTTGAGTACTAAATAGATAAAAAAAAATTAATATAATTTAACAAAACAGATATGTATTTGTAACTGTATAATATTTTAAAGTATGTACAGTGAAACTGGCAGCAACCATTCTCCTTTATGCGAAAAATTACTATATAAGAGATGAAGTGGCTTCAAGAATTGTGGAGGTTTTAAGAAACAACCCGAATTTTTAACTTCATTTTGTAGTCATAAAATAATACTTTTTATGTGTTACGTTATTGAATAGTATGTATTACATGAGTTATAATACATAAATGTTTTTTGAAATTTAAATGCTTTCAAAATGTTAAGAAATTTTGGTTTGCTTTTTTAAACAATACTTCTTTCTTTAGCTTATTTTTTAAATCCGAATAATGAGCATTTCTAAATTCACCATGAAGGAATCGGCCTGTAAAACATTAAATTGATGCAGTAAAAAATCTGTTCATTAAAAAAGTGATCGTCTATTAAATGGATTTTTCATTGAATAGAAAACAAGAACTTAGCAACAAAACAATATTTTGTATGCATGTGTGACGCATTTCAGGGATACCAATTTGCTTTGCATTGTGGGTAAAACTTTTATTTTAATCTGTTGATACTTGGTGCAATAAATTTGATGGAAAGTTATTTTTTCCACCACTCTATTCAAATACTTCAAAAAGATGAATTGGTGAGAAAATTAACTTATATTTGTAAGTTTTTAAAAATAAAGTCAGAAACAAAAATTTTTTTATTTATATTCTAAATCTATTTCTATTTTTGTAAATCTAAACTTACTGTGCTTCAGAAATTATTTCTGAAAGGACATTGCTTTTTGCTGCAAATATGAAACAAAATATTTTGTGTTTAAATTGAAGCAAAGAACAAAAATGAAATACTGCTTTTCTATATTAACAAAAACTACTGAAATGTATATTTTATGCACTACTTAAGATAATACTGAAAATATTGGTTAGGTCAATTAAAATAACTTTTAATTATACAATGAGTAGTTTTAAATTTTAGAAGTGAAAACATGTGTAAAATACTTTATTACTGAATTCCAATTTTGTACTTTTGATTCTATCTTGCTTTCTTATGTGTAATTTTCATTATTTATTGTATTATATTCATTTAATAGGAAACTTCAGTCATAATTGTTCACATGAGTGGTGCACTATTAGCATTTGGATGTTCTGCTATATATAGTTGGTTGCAAACTGTAATATCTCATTATGTATGTCCGTTTCTGAATTCTACCTTCGTTGCAAGATTGAGGGTCTTCTTGTCCCTTATTTTAACAGCATCATTTGTGACAAGTATCCTTTTGATAATGGGTTCCTTTTTAATATTATTTTTAAAAAGTTTTATTCTTACTCTTTAGTTTTAGCTTTTACTACTGTTTCTTTTTAATTGAAGAAAAATCATGTTCAAATTAATAAAAATCTGATAAGGATTTTAGCTACTTTTCAACACACTATCATCTATAATACCCAGCGATGATTTATAAAAGATATTAAGGAGAATAAATTTTAAGTAATAGCAATAGTAATTATAATCTATGATTAATAGGTATATATAATTAATAACTAAATTCTAGTACAGGGTTAATGCAAATAAGAAACTTTGTATATTTTTGTAACTAGGTATTACATATATATTACGATAAGTGATGCTGAGTTAAAGGAAAATTTACGGAACTTATATTCAATGTCTAAACCTTTTATGATACGGGAAACATTTAATCTCCATTCCATTCAAACATTAAACATTCAGTCATTAATCTCCATTCAAAAATTTTCATCGCATTTCATAAGTTTTCTTTTAGTTCTTTCAAGCAACTCTTATTTGCACTAAACTTCAATACATTTTTGCATTGTGTACTATCTGTGAATTCCTTATGTTATTTGTTTAATGATATATATGTAACATAAAAAGCTTCAATTTATCTTTTTATGTTATTTCTTTTCTGGAAATCCTTTCCTTAATTTATTATTCTAATCAAAATACTTTCTCACACTTTTAAATTCACATCCTGTCCTTAAGTCTATTTTTGGCTCAAGCATGCATTAATTAAAAGTAGGACATTTTTCCCTTTACTCTTTGTGGGAAATGTGCGACCTATTTAATAAACCAATTACAATTACTAAGTTTTCCCTAAATCAAAGCATTTTATAGATTTTCTTTGCAAGAGTTTCCCTAACATTTAGGCTGAACCACGATGAAATTGTGGCGCATTCTCTCTCATGATACTTCTCAAAATTATTAAATAAAATATATTTGTTTGCTCTCTTTGAAATCCTGTGCCTGTTTGTTCTGCTCACACGTCCATGACTGGAAACCTTAGATATATGTGTCACGCTTTCGTGTCGAGTTTTCTTTTTTGACCATAATATCAGAGATAATTCAATTTTAATTCATCAGATTTTTATTTGCAGTCGATTTTAATATTCTTTTTGTATAATGATACCTTTTTAATTTGTGTTAGGCATTTATTAAGAAAAATGAGCAAAGAAACTACTATTTGCAAAATGTACATGGAGCAGAAGCTCCTGGAGAAGAGTTTACAACTTCGTTTTCAAAAGACAAGTCCACACTTTTTCCATACACAGCATGTAGTTATTATTTCATGTCATGTGTTCCATAATATCCAGACTCCTTTGTTAGGATTGAGGCTGCTAGAAGTAATCATAAGACCAGGTGACGATATATTAAAATATCAAAATATTTGTTAAATTAAATGGGAATTCGACTTTATAAAGATATTTTACTGCGCACTATAGATTCATTTTATAAATAAAGATAACATTTTCTAACTAATTAACGATAATATATACGTGAAGTGCTTAGTTTATTATGTGAAAGAGATTATTAAAGTTCTCATCAGTTAGAAGAGCTAATTTTACAATTAAAAAATATAATTCTTTCTAGATTTAGTTTTAAGAACCTTTAATTCTATTGAGCTATTATTTTAGATGTTACATATATATAATTTTTGTTATGTTTGAATCTTTAACTTCTGTTAGCACTTGTTGCTGGTGTTATTGCTAGAAAAAATTTCCATGGGAAAGATGCAACTAAATGGCATCCAGAAGATGGAGTGAGTATTTATTATAAAATAATTATCAAAGCTAATTTATTTTTCATAAGCAGAGCAAAGAAAATCAGTATGCTAGAACATATATTTTAAATACATTTCCTATCAAAATGAATGAATTGAGGCAATATAGTGATAGGTGACTTTCTATCATTTTATGTTAATAGATTACTTATACCAAACTGTTCCTTAGAGTATTGTTTCCAGATAAGTATTGGGCTAGTTTCTGAAATTTCCACTTGATAACAACTCAATGCATCTTTATGCTTATATGAAAATCATTGTGTTTTCGATCAAGTAATCCTTAAATGATTTCTTGCACAATTTGAATATGTAGTTTAGCATTGTATTGCCACAAGCTCTTTAATTATTAAATTTGTAGTCCGTGGATCGAGATTCAGACAGAAAGTAAAGTTTATTAACGAAAAGCAAACAAACACATACAAATTTAAAAAGAACGCCATCTGGCGGTATAAAAAGAAAAAGACTTCGTAGCTATCCTTCCCAGGGAATGACAACAATCTCCCCCTGCGAGAAGGATTTTACTTTTTAACACATATAACAATATACACATAAAAAANTTTTATTGTATATTTCAGAGCATTACGATTTAATTCACTTATCCAATTCAAAATATTCATGTTTCACTTAAAGTTGAGCCCCGGTATATTCTTGAATGAAACTCCTCGTCGTAAAATTGAGTAAGACTTGTGGCATTCATATTTGGATTGCAATATAACATTCATTACATATCAAAGGATTAATTGGAATTAATGAAAATTTATTTTCATTTCTTTTTGTGTATGCTTTCTTTTTTTGTCTGTATGTTACTGTTAGTAATCAGTCTATGATAAATATCTATTATTATATGTATAATTTATGTAGAAATATGTATAATTTCTAGGGTTTCAGAGCTCATATTATCAGCACAGCGGCTGAATGGATTGTCGTTATATCATTTGACTGTTTTATTCTCACATTTGCTAAAGAAATGCAAAAAATTTCTATTTCTTCCCCTCAGGTAAATATAATTATTATTTTCTATTTGTAAAAATTTTAAAAAGTCATTTTCTTGCTCTGAAATTTATTTTTTAGAATACAATAAAACATTTTTAAATTGCTTCAAGTTTCAAAAACAACATCTAACAGAATTTTTTTTCTAAGCAAAAAGAAAGCAATATATATTTAAATTAAAAACACTTTAACGTAATTATTTATGATCCAATATATGTTACAAAAATTATGATTTAGTGTTTCGTGTATTGTATTGTTGTTATTAATCTAAACTTTATTTTAACTGCCGTGTTCTGATTTTCTTTTTTAATTTTGCATAATTTAATCCATAATTTTTTTTCTATTTTTTAAATTAAGTAAAAAAGATCTTAATTCCTTTTAAATAATGCAAGGAACATCAAGTAGACAGACATTTAACTAAATTTACAAGCAGCTTAGCAAATAATGATGTTGACTAGGACTGATCGGTAAAAATGAGAACATTCTAGAATAAGATGAAATATATTTAAAAGAGAATTAACATTATTGCCTAATTCAATTGAAAATAACCTCTTTCTTTTTTTTTTGTGTAGTTACTTTTAATATTTTTTATTATTATTTGAGACATAGCCTTGACAGAGTAATGACTCTAAATTATACCAGTGTGTTTCAGCTGTTAAGTTTAAATATTTGTAGATATACATTATGTTATTACATAATTCAAGAAGCATTTTGCTAAGGATGAGATTAACAAATTACTTTGATGAGTTTTAATAGGGAAGAATTGGGTTAAGGATTTACGAACAAGATTTTCTAAGCTATATTTAAATGTGTTGCTTATCTTTTTTTCTTTAATTTAAGTGAAAGCATGGATTGAATAAATTTTTTATCTTTGTCTACTGTCGTAATTAAGCCCAGCTTAGCTTTGGAGAAATTGTTAAATGATATTTATTTCTATTCTTATTTTTTCTATTATTAATAAAGTGCGAAATGCCAAAATTATTTTTAATTATTGTTCTATATTTCTGATATCATTTTTTAAGGTAAATTTTTATTGAATTAAAGTTCAAGCTATTATACTTAAGAACAAACTTCAATGGCAACTAAATCAATAATTTTTTTGAAGTTAAAAACAAACAAAAATAATAATTAAATTAATAAATTTAGTTAATTAATAATTTTCTGTACATTGTTATTTTAATAAAATTTACTGATCTATATAAATATTGTTGAGAGATTGACATTTATCTAGCAAATGTGTAAATTCTTAAATAGTTCTTAAAAAAATTAGTAAATAATGCATAATTTCATTTTTTATGAATTGACTTAAGAATACTTATTTAATTTCAGGTGCTTTTTTGTTCTAATGATGTTATTTTAGAAAGTACAGAATTTTATAACAGTCAAGAACATGTTAACATCACCCCTAATCCTAACAGTTTACGCATTAGTTCTTTACCTAGCAGTCCTTATGGTGATTATAAAAAAGATAATATTCTAACTACTCAAGCTGTTGTCCATTAACTGTCTATTATAATCTTATGCTTGTAAATGTGTATAGCATTTCTTTAGTACATCATTTGTTTTTAATTGATTTTAACAATGGTTTTTGAGTTGTGTCCTATTTTATGCTGAAATATGAGTGTTATGTGATAAAAGTTTTCATTCATTCGCAATGAAACTGCAATTTTTATTATTTATCAATATGTGGTGATATTGGTTTTTATTTTTACTTTATATGTTTTATAATGTAACATAAAAATGACTTTTTATTTAAAGTTTTCAAATCATATTTTTTCAGTTTTTGCAATGTATTTTAATTAATTATTATAATTATTTTTTTTGTTAATCTTGCTAAGTAGCCAAATACATTTTATAATTAGACAATTAAGAAATGCATGTTAAGAATATTGTTAATATATAAGATGCACTATACATTAGAATATATATGAATTATTAGCAACTATTTTAAAGTTTAAAACTTTTATAATAGTTAGGAATCTTTTGTCTTTGAAAATTTTGAATCACATTAATTTTTGCAAGTACGTTTTAATTTATAATAATTAGTATGTATAAATAATATTTAATTACCAAATGTAAATTATTCTCTATTACTCTATATTTTTTTGTGGTGATTTTTCTTTTTATAATAAAATGTACATATTTACTTCACTTTTATTTAAAAAGAAGTAAGAAATTATTTATCAATATGTACTTTATCATATTTTGATAAAATACATTATTAATGTATATATTTAATTTTTGTTATATTTAATTAAATTTTATTCTGCATTTCTATTTGCTTAAGAGAGATATGATATATTTTAAAATATTCCAATAGAAATGCCTTTTACTCATATGTGTGCATCCAAATCAGATGCTGTTAAATTATTTTTGTTTTTGATTTTAAAATTATTTTGATCTTCGCTAAAATTACTTTGTTATATTAATGAGCTCTTGAAAAAAAAACTAATACTTTGCTTTAGCATTCAAAGTCTTTAAAGATAGGAGTTAATGGAATATTATGGAGAGAGAAAAAAAATGAGGTAACTTAATTAAATATTCTGTCAATCTATCATTAATTGATGAGATTCAAGATGATTTTTTATTCAATAAATTTTTATAATTTTGTATTTGAGCATTTTACTTTTTTTTTTTTTTTTTTTTTTTTTTTTTTTTTTTTTTTTTTTTTTTTTTTNTTTTTTTTTTTTTTTTTTTTTTTTTTTTTTTTTTTTTTTTTTTTTACAAAACCTTTTTTAAGCTAAACCAAATATTTTAAATTCTTCATTTTGATGCTAAACCCTTAAAAAAAAATTTTTTTTTTACTGCTTAGCGAAATCAAATTTAACTATTAATGTTAAAATAGTATAACTAGTATTATTTAAATTTTTACTTACTTCATAATAACAATTTTTCAAACATAATAACCCATTCACTAAATCACAGCTTTTTCTTCCACAGTCTGCATTTTAAAAAATCAGTCTCATTATGCTTGTGCTACCATCTACAACTTTCTTCATAAATTAGATGATAGACTGAAAATATTTAAAAATCGATACAAAATGTATTGATAGGTAGTTCATATCTCACACAATTCTGTGTGAAATTAACTTTAATGTTCTAATATATATATTTTATGTCTGTACTGAATGTTTGGTACTGTAGTCAGAGACATTTATGGCCGCATGAAAATTCTAAGAAAGATTTCAATTTGATTGCTAAGTATATTTGTTACATACAAATAAGCTGCCTTTATGAACCATGTATTTATTTTTATCATAATAAGTTATGTAAATATGATTTTACCACAAATTAGTTTTCCTTATATTAGTATTATTATTATTATTATTATTTTTGAAATTTTTGATGGCTACTAAAATTATGCATTACATTCTTGATGCTTTCAAAAAATTTGAAATGTAAATGAAAATGTAATTTTTCAAATGTACTTTTTTTAACAAGTTTACAAGGGACTTTTTCTGTATATGCTTCAAATTTAAATAACTTCAAATTTTGACTCATCACTTGTTAAATTACATGTTTTAATCAATTAAATCAGTAAAGGGCCGGTATAGCCTGGCACATGTCCCAGAAGTCGTGGGTTCAATCCCCGCTGGCCGAAGACTCCCCGTGTAGTAAACGGTGACTGATGCACATTAAATCTGTCGAGTCTCAAAGTGCTTCATGTTCCCATAACAAATCATACATCTGGGGGTGCTGATCTAGGAGTTTCCTTGTTTTCTGTATTGATTCAAAATTGCAAGTCTACGGAGTCTAACATTAGTAGTCGTAAACCCAAAAATTGGGTCGGCTGTTCGACGGCGGTTACAAAATATAAAATTAAATCAGTAATTGCATTAAAGTTGTTCATTATTAATATTGTTTAAAATAAATTGTCAATAATAAATAAATTAAATTTTAAATAAGAGTTCAGTCTGCAAAACATATTTATTTATATTATACTTCAATTTTCTATTCGAATGCTACAGATACTGCATAGTTCATCTTTATTCTTCATTTTCAAAGCCCAATTTTCCTTTTTATTTATTAAGTTCATATTGCCATTTCAAAGTAAATATAGAGAATTAAATATTTTCGATATAGTACATGAACCTAATTTATGTTGTTAAATTGAAAACATTTTTGCTTATTGAACAAATTTTATTTTACTTGCTTTTTATAATTATTAATTTCAGTAATATATGTAGTGTGTTTCAAACAAGAATTTTAATAGCTTAAAATTTATTCAAATTTTGAAAATTGTGTCACAAAACTTGCTTATGGTGTTTCTAAACATGTGAGACTAATTTATATATTTTAAATTTCGACTGACTATTTCATAGCTGAACTACTGAGATTGAAATCGGTTTTGATTTTCTTTATATAATTAATTATTCATTAATTTGTTTCATTCAGTTTTACTTAATTTGATAATCATTGAAAATATAACTGTACTGATATGAAAGATTGAAAAAAAAAATCTATTTTTTAGCATGTGTATTAAGAATAAATATTGTTAACTGTAATACATTTGTTGAATGTGTAAGTGGGTATACACTAAAGTAATCCAAGATCTATTGTTTTAAAGTTATATTTTGTATTTATTTAATGTGGCATTTTTGTTAGTATGACAAAATGTTATTACATTTCTGTAATGAATAATAAAATATTTTTCTTCTTTTTACTATGTTGCTTGTTTTTGTTTCTAGAACCATGTATACAAAAAAATATATCTTAATAATTCGTAGAGTACGTAATTTTTATTTGGCTTCTTAAATTTCCTTTTATTTTTGATGTTATATTGTGTATGTCTTCTTTTTTTTTTTAATATTATTATTTCTAAGGCAACGTTAAATAGTGTTTTTGCGTGATGTAGCGACAATTTTTTGTTCTTAAAATAAAATTTGTTTTCATTAGTCGTTAAAATATATTTTAAATAAAAATAAATATTACTTTAGTGAATTCGGGTACAAATGCTGGTTAAAAAAATACAATTCAAATATTGTAGAAGATTTTAATTAAACATATAAAAGTGAAACTTTTTAAATAAGGATAAAATCGCTACAATTTGCAATCTTGTCTGCAGGGATGTAAATATTGCAAAAAGATCAGAACAGCATAATAATTTTTGATTTAAAATGGTTGCTTGGTCGCAGAAACCTACCATCTCGGCAGTGAATGCTGCAGATTATTGCAGCTTCTTCAGATTTTATTTTTATCATAAGTTTTATTTTTAAAAAGCAAAGAAACAAATAGGAAAAAATTGCTGAAACTCCTTTTTTTTTCGGTTTCTTAATAACGTGCTCGAATGTTTTGGGATCCTTTTTTTGTAGCATTGTGTAAAATTCAACTCAAATTTAAACAACATAAAGTTTTTATGTACATGAACCTTACATTTTCAAATTTTGTTAGGTGTGCGTTAGATTACTTGTTGAATTTTGTACAATAATAATCAGTCTAACTGTGATTATTGTTGAGGTCGCAGGCGAGTTTAGATTTATGATAAATTGAATGTTGATCATCAACGACTACCACTGACAAAAATGGGACTGAATTCTGGCCTACGCTTGTTAAAAAAATTTCGATTCGGAAAAAAAACGAATGATTGAACATAATGGCAATGTGCCTGATGTGCACTGATCTGATTAGTGCTTGTGTGACTCCCCTAAACGTCTTATTCCTGCACTTGAAAAGTCCTATGTAAAACATCATTTCTATATAATCTACAGAGTAAAAAACTTGCACTGAGGCTCTGGAGAACTATCTAGTAAAGTTATACCAGGCCAGGGCTTCAATGCCAGGAAATTTCTGGAAGTAGTATATCGACGCAGGAGCCTTAAATGTGTTGTACTAATCCGATCAATAAATAACTTTTCATTGACACATTTAACTTACTTTTTCGGGCAAATCCTGTCAAAATAAGCAGATGCCATAATTAAGCACATTTTGCAATAAAGTATTATATATAAGGGCGTATTTTCATTTTGGCAAGTACGACGCCCTTTCCTTTTTTATAAAATTAGGTTCAAAAGATGTAGTAGGGCCCTGGTAGTAGAGTGGTTAGAGAACCGAACTCCGGTCCGGTGGTGCCGCGTATCGACTCTGCTATGATCTAACGAGTATGTGCGTGTAAAATATGTGGAATCGAAAATCCTTTGGTTAGTCACTAAGTAGTACTATAGGTGCAGGGATCTGAAGAAAATTTCCTACCACTTCAGATCTATGTCTAAATTAAGCAAGAGGTATCATGAATGATACCCATACTAGACAAGTGACTTCCTATTTATATTTCTGCTTTGATTCAAATGACTCGAGCACGTAGTCTGCAGAATCAAAACTTTAAATTTTATAGGATATTATGTAAGTGTGGATGAGAATCAACCATATAAAGCTAATCACAGTTGACGATAGGTCTTAATATTCGTCTTAAGACTTCCAGGTTAATACCGATTTTACTTGTAAAATTGAAAACACGCCCCACACATCCAATATAAATATACTTGTAGTGTTTACAATATAACTAGTTCTTAAATTTAAACTTTAACTTAAATCATTTAATTTTAGCTGAGACAAATATATTTGATGCTATCCCTCCCGTTATAATACTCAAATATATCCAAATGTGGGATAATCAAAACAGAGCTAACATTGTGATATTAATTTTTTTAATGCTCATGACCTCTTAAAATCTATAAATTACAGAAAATTCATGAATTTTGAAATTTCGGGTAAATTTTAACACAAATCATAATAAATAAGCTC